AATAAATGTAGTAAGTATATATGGTAAGATACATTGAGACTGTGTAAATATCCTTTTACTCTTCAAAGTTTTACCTACTGCTAATTGTATCATTTAGTCATGATTCTTGCCTGAATCAGTTATTAGTATGATGATTACCAAATAAGCATTTTCTGATTCTATCATTCTAGTGTAAGAGTTTTCCCTTTGCCACATTTTGATATTATTTCCAATGGAAGGAATATTTATTTTTTTAATATTTTAAAATATTATTTTTTGTTTATTAGAATAAAAGGCTGCCAGGGCTGAGAGATTCTAGTTTCACCATCAAATATAATCTTTGTAAGAGAAACAGAACTGTAAGGAATCTAATGTGCATGTCTGATACACTTATGTTTTTAAAACAATTACAGAAGGCAGTAAAGGGCACTATAACTTCAGTCTAATACTAAGTGAATGATAAAACTATAAAAATAGTATTTTGGAAATGAAATCCCAAAGCAGAATATCAGCATGAAAAATACTTAAAATAATTCTCTGTATTTTAACCTGCCTGCTCCCAAAATAGGAAATACAAAGAAAAGGCCAGTGTGACCACGGTAGTGAGAGAGGAATCAGGAAATCATATCATGTGAGAAATGCCCAGAGGTGATAGGCATATTTACCTTGGAGAAGACTGGAAACCATATTATTCATTTTAAAGATCAGCATGTAGAATATCTTATGGAGTTTTCTTTAAGGTTACTCCAAAGGATAGATTTAGACAGAGTTCTAGGTTTTGATTTAGTTTTAAAATTTTCCTGCAGTTATTAGGAACTTGATGTTCCTGAAGGCATTCATATGACCATTTGCCAGTTTTGTGTAGTTAGTGAGAGTTTTTCTCCACTATAAACTCAAAAAGCTTCTTCTCATTTCTTTAGATTATGTTTTTGTGTCTGCAAATACCAGATGTTAATTCTCTTAGGGAAGGGCAAGGTGATGTCATATTCTCAGTGTAATAGTTATTATTAGATGTCTGAAATAATATTAAAGTCAAAATTTTGTACTCTGATTCTCATACATACATACATATTTTTAAATTATAGCCATGAAAAATGTTATACGAAAAAAATGTTATACGTATCCTTGAAGTTTCTGTTGTAAGAGCTTAAAAATCTTTATTTCTAAAAAAAAAACTTACTCCTTTTATATTTTTTTTCCTAGGTAACTCTGTTCCACAGGATATCTGCTGTATGGCAGCAGATGGGAGGCTAGTCTTTGCTGCTTATGGGAATGTTTTCTCTGCATTTGCCCGTAATAAAGAGGTTTGTATCACTGAACTGTTTTAATTTGTTTGTCTTTTGCAGTCAGTAGTTGATTGTCATTGTAGTATAGGGACTTTCATGTTGCTCTTCTTCATCTGGGACACTCCTGACATGTACTTTTTTTTTTTTTAACATATATTCAGTTTTCTGGAGGAAGAGAAAGTTGATTTCATTAAATTCTCAAAATTATTTAACACTGGTGCTTTAGTTTGGTTTTCTTTGGCAGGGATCAACTTTAGAATTATTTGGGCAGCTGCTTACTACAGTTTTATGTCTAGTCAGGTCCCATCTCTGGAATTTTCTACTTTGTTTCTTTGATTAGGATAGGATTTATTTAAGAGTATTTTGAAAATATTTTCCTAAGAGATTCATGTTTGCAACACTGCTTTATATGGATTGACTTTTTCATTATGAACAGCACTGCCCATGACTTGCTTTCTGAGAACCAAGTGCTTGTTCCCCATGTAGAAAAAGCTAGATTCTGTTTTCTCCACTGCTCAGGAAGGATTTTTCTTGTCTTAATCTACTAATTGGTTTCTAAGTTTGTCCTGGGACTACTAGCTTGAGAGATGACCTGGTTCTTGTGGTCCAGAATGAAAGGTAAAGTGGAAGTGGGGATGCCTAGATAGCTAAGTTACAGAGTCACTGTGCTTCTCAAGGTTTGACTTGGACTGACATTTGTTCCCAACTTCTTCCATTGTCACTGCCTGTGGCAGAGGAAGGCAATTTACCTGTAGGGTTTTTTAGTGGGAATTGTTTGGATTTTTAGAGAGTCAAGAAAAATGTGCTTGCTTTCTTTTTTTTTTTTTTCCCCCAAGTATTGCAGTTTGTAATTTTCCCTGAGAGATGCATATAGAAAGTAGAAGTAGGAAGGCATCAGAGACTGTCAGCTAATTGTAGGAAGCTGTTACTATCCCTAAGGTCAAAGGGACAAGGAGAAGAAATAGTGTTCCTAGAGCCTGGTGAGAACTGAAACCATGGGGAAAGGACTATAGTTATTGAGGATACAGCTACTGCTGTAAGGGTAGGGGTCTCCCTGTCAAAACAGAATGCTATAGGGAAGAAGTATCCTATATCTCTCCCTTGTCTCATGGGGAAGCCAGCAGTGATGGCTGCAGACGTCAGCCTTCCAGAACAGTTTTCTAGAATGCATGGACTTGGCTAATTGGATTGGGTGAGGGACCCAGCTGTGTGCATGCCTCCTCCCTAAGCTCAGTTGAGAAGCTAAGCCTCAGAGGTCTCATTTCTGTGTTCCCAGCCCATGCTTCCTGATTGGACTGGTTAGGGGAGCAGGTAAAAATGCTTGGTTCCTTGCTATTTGTTAGTGTAAACTTGGATAATCAAAAGTTGGACCACATTTCTTAATGTGAGCATCTTTAAGATTATCTTATTTTTTGGTTAATACAAATAATAATACATGATGACTGAGTAATAATATGAAATTCTTTTGAACTTTGACATTGTAGGTAGTACATACCTTTAAGGGTCACAAAGCAGAAATCCATCTTCTGCAACCATTTGGGGACCATGTTATCTCTGTCGATACTGACAGCATTCTTATTATTTGGCACATATATTCAGAAGGTAAGAACCAATTTACTGCTTTTATCTTGGGATAGTGTGTATATAGCTAAAATTAAATATCCATGTAAACATAACTTTTGTACCAGAGGTTTCACATGTAAGCAGTGAAGAGTTTTTAGAAATCTTTTACATGTATAAGGAAAAAGATTCTAAGTAAAAAAAGATACACATTTTTAGTCAGTTAATTGAGCTGTTTATAACCTATTTAATGTGTTTATCTGAAGCTAGTACATTGCATTGCAGTTTTCCAAGTTTAGTGACATGTTATATTATTTTCTCTGTGGGGTGAATTTTGGTATATGTTCACTCCTGAGTAATACTTGATTTGTATTTTCAACTTTCAGTAAGTGAGATTATTATAGTAAACTTGATCCAGTAACCTGAAGGAAAATATACATCCTTTTTCTAAGCGTATGAGTCAGTGTCCTTTAACTGTGATATTCTTAACCAGTATCATTGAGCTATGTTTATGGGACCCTGTTACCGTCAAAGGTTAGGAATTTGTCACCAGAATATCCCCAGCTTTTTCTAGTAAAAAACTCTGGGATCTTTGATGAATGAAAGCTTTTAAGTTTTTCACTGTGTTTACAGTTTTAGGGTTTGTTATCTCTTGATTAACTCATTGCTTGATAAAGTAGTAAACATTCTAGAGACTGCCCTTCTGGGTGTCATTCCATATTCTTGTTCAGATTAGTCACTCTTTGCTTTGTCTTTGCTGAAGTGGAGGGAACAGAATTCCAAAAGTAGTCCCTGTGCAGATGGATGTTAAAAGTCTTTATAAAGTAGGAGAATCTAATTCTTACAGTTCAGCAGGCTTTCTATTGATGCTGATGTCTAGCTTTTTGTTACTGTTGCAGCAGCACGTTGAACCAGTGTCTTTCGGAAGCTGTTTGTAGTCAGATTAAGTAAAACTGCTAGTTACAAACAGAGGCAAGAATCTTTTAAAATAGCATTTAAGGTAAAGTTTGTGTAATTCTCAAGTGCTATCCTTGCTCTTTAAATTGGGATACACATACCTGTGGGAGCATGCAGCAGCAAGATAGTATGCGAAACTAAAGATTAAGAGAAGTATACCTTCTCTGATATTCTAGTTTATTGGGAAATTTAATGAATGGATGAACTGTGAATCAAAAAAACCCCAAAATTCACATATGGGAATTTTAAACATATGTAAGATTTCAAAAAATATTTTGATCTTGTAGCAAGTGATAGCTGGCTGTGCCATTCCCCACTTCACAGTGTTATAAGTACTTTTTGTCTCTTCTGTTAGAGGTTCTCCTGTGGAAATGTGAGGAGCACTGTTCTTAGTTTCACTGAGGTTTACCTCCGGCTTTTTGCATGTCTGAGGGGCCCATCAAACTCTCTAGATATCAAGCTTCCCAGCCCTCCACTCCTGGGAAGAGCTCAGCTCAGTACAGGCAATTTACTTGGAACATTCACTGCCTCTTGATCAAATTATAAAACTACTGACAATGATCCCTAGTGTCATTTAAGAAAATCCTTTTCATTCCTATAAACCAATTTGGCAGTGAGTGAAATTTTTAATGATACTGATATTAGAACTTTTAGAAAATTTTTTTTAACATTTTTTATTGATTTATAATCATTTTATAGAAAATTCTTGACAGTCTCAATTGCATTTGCAAGTTGCCCCTCATCACATTTGTTTAATTACTCAGGGAATGTTTATAGATTAGTGTGTCAGTCTTTGATTTATATTAGTACAGAAGTCTAATATAGTAGACTTTAAGTGCTAAATATGTGGGTATATAAAAAATATTTTTAAGTGTTTTATAAAAATGATTACATATTATGTATAACTTTTACTTTTGTAGAGGAATACTTGCAGTTGTCTTTTGATAAATCAGTATTTAAAATTTCTGCAATTTTGCATCCGAGTACCTACTTGAATAAAATACTTCTTGGCAGTGAACAAGGAAGCCTCCAGTTGTGGAATGTAAAATCCAAGTAAGCACTTTATTTAGAACATAAACATAGGTGATTCCTACCTTATTCTTATCTATCCTTATCTATCCTTATCCTTATGCCTAATGCGTACTTGAGTCTCAGTTCTCCCAGCTTTTATATGTTTATTTGGAGGGCTTTCAGTAAATTGATGTGTTTTTGGAGTTGTTACTCACAGCATCTCATATGTGAAAGCTAGGATATGGTCCTGTCACGTGGTAGACAGCTTCATTAATGCTCGTTGAAAAGTATATACTAATAGCTTTAGTCACTGTGAAGAGTTCATATAGCTGTAGAGAAGGCTCTGGTACGTAAGATCAGAAATAATTATGAGACTGTCACTGGGCAGCTTTTAGTTTTTGATACACTGATAAGGTAAGAAGGCAAAGCAATTGGTGTTCATTTAGTGCTTGCATTTAGGATGGTTTTCAGGGTAAAAGTACTTTAATCATCAACCACAAACATGATGGATATCTACTATAATATTAGTATGGCTGGTGGGCTAGATCAATGATTTAGAGTACCTTTGCCTATTATTTGAACATTTATCCAGAGAAAAAAGTGGCAGCTAAGTTTGTTTGTACAGCGTTAACAGGCAAACAAAAATATTTGACCATCCAAATTGTCCTTTCCAAATCCCTTATAAATTTGAAAGAGAAAATAAGATTTTCTGAGGTCTAACATTTATCCTAGTTTTTAGTTTTAAATCAGTGTTTCTGTTCAGTTTAACAAGTATCATTGACTACCTACTCTGTACTAGGCTCAGGGATAATGGCTGAAATAGTCTCTGCCTCAAGGTTATCTCTAGGTTCTTCATGTGATCATTATACTCTCTATTGTACATTAAATATCCCTTGGATAATCATTGAGTGACCTAATCTGTGCCACTTAAAGAATTTAATATATAATTAAATCTCATTGATTGTCATTTTAGCAATTTTAGGTATCTCTGCTTGATTCTGAAATGTAGAGCAGCATCTACATATAACAGTCATATAACATACAAGGAGTATTGTAGTTATGATATATTCCCTTTTGTAGAAATGCATTGTAGTGAAAAATGAGATCTGCCAATATTCTTTTTTGAAAAATTGTAATATATGTAATATAATACGGTTTTTACTCATTAATTTTATTGTCTATTTAATTTTTTAAAGAGTTTGTACAGTATAATAGTTATTAGCAGCTTAGGATCTGAAATTGGTCTCTCTGGACTCTGTCAATATTAGTCATGTGACTTTTGCTTAATTTTTTCACATAATTAAGTTTCTTAGGTTCTTTATCTGCAAAATGGTAATATCTGCCTCATGGAATTGTTTTAAGTATCAAATATATTAATTTGTATATTTAGAATAGTTGGGGGGAGAGTAAGAACTTACTAAATATCACTTGTTATTATTTGATTTTTTAAAATATGTAATTGATTTTGTTTTTCTCCAAAAAAAAATAGCTTTCAACAATTTTTCTTCTTGTAGTAAACTTCTGTATACATTTGCGGGATGGAAAGTTGGAGTGACAGCACTTCAGCAGGTTAGTATTTTTCTGTTAAGTTAAAGAAGAAATGAAGTTTGCAGTAGGATCTTTCAGTTTCAGGGGCCAACTGTATTTTTAGACCTAAAGACAAAATAATATAGAGACTAGTTTATCTTTATAAATATTACTGTACAAATAGTGTTTTAGAAATGTAATTGAAAACAGAGCTGTTTTCTATAAATGTTTATGGAAACCTTTTTGCCTAGAATTAGGCTCTAAATCTGTGGTTGCTATGCAGCTGTGTTTACTAGTCATTTTGCAAGCATATAGTCCAGTGCCTTGTGCAGAGTGGAGATGAGTTTTTCAGTGAAGCAAGGGAGATTGTAGGTATATAGAGGAATTTGTCAGGATGTTGAGATTTGTAGCTTGAGATAATTGATGGCCCAAATCTTAATAATTCATTAATTGCTGGCTTCTTCCAGAAATAACTGCTTTTTGCTTTTATGAGTCTGTAAGACATGTGTGAATAAATGACTGCATGTCTGCAGAGAATCTTATTTGTATTTTGGACATATGTACAGCCCATGTACCCTTGTCTTTTTAAATATCCACTGCTTATACCTGCCAAATTTATATATGTTCCTTTATTCCCTCTCACTACCATTAGCCTTGCTCCACCTTTACCTACCCAGAAGACCCCAAAGGTAGCAGATGATTAGGTCCCTTGAGGGCAAAGGATCATATTTGTTTTAGTGTCCCCAGCTTCTACACAGGGTCTCATGCATAGTAGTAAATTGATGGCAAATTAATAAAATGTTTAGCCTGATTCCATTTTGTAATGTGCTGGACATTGATCTTCTGTGCTAAAATAGAGAAATTTATTGTAGAGTCTGTATATAAGACTGTTGTATAAAATGAAGATTATAATCATAGATTACTAGAGCTGGAACAGACTAATTTTAAAATTTAAAATGCCTTTTAACATGTTTTATAGGTTTTTCCTGTTTTCCTTAAAAAACAACTCTTCTTTTGTAGTTGGCCTTTTACATTGCCATGCATGTGGCAAGCCTTTATATATTTTCTTAGAGTTACCTCTTTTTTCTGTTTCCATCCAGTCATAGATTTGTAGTGATTTCACACACCATCTTCCTTTTGTATTATGGCTGTTTTATTACCAAGTCAGCTATGTTTTGGGGGCAGGGTGGTGATGATAACTACCAGATTTGAAGCTGGGAAGTAACTTGGAAAAATCATCCCTAAATCTTTCCATGCCAAATATCAATTAAAGTATGCCAGAATGGAAGGGAGCATACAGCTCATTGCTACAGAGTGTGTACTTAACATTCACGAGGTTCTGGGTTCAATCCCTAGTACCTCTGTTAAAATTAATAAGTAAATAAGCCTAATTACCTTCCTCACCCCCCCCCCCCAAAATAGGACAGTTAAGTATGCCTGAATGGTAGTACTTCCTGTTTTTGCCACCTCCAGGAAGATATTCCATTATTTCTTTTGATAACACTTATGTAGTGGTATATATCATCAGAATTATTAAAGCCATTTGCTTAAGAATATTAAAAGTTGAGTAATTTAATTTTCAGGCACCAGCTGTGGATGTTGTTGCTGTTGGTCTTATGTCGGGTCAGGTTATAATTCACAACATTAAGTTTGATGAAACATTGATGAAGTTTCGTCAAGACTGGGGACCTATTACTTCGATTTCATTTCGCACAGGTAACTCTTACCTTGTTTGTTGACAAGAGTTAAGAACATTTAAAATTTTACTTCGAAGCCCATAGAAATTTTCTTACTAGATATTTTTTTTACAGTTTAATAGAAATGAATGAAATACTGGAATCTAAAAGGCCAAAGAAATATTGATAGATTATTGGTGTATAGTCTTTTTAAAATTTATATTTATGGATTAAAAGGGTGGAGAGAGGAATTGTTAAGATTAATTGTTTTATGATACATGTTTTTCTTAATATTATCCTATTTTAATAATAGATGGTCATCCTATAATGGCAGCTGGAAGCCCATGTGGCCATATTGGACTCTGGGATCTAGAAGACAAGAAGTTAATCAATCAAATGAGAAATGCACATTCTACAGCAATTGCCGGACTGACATTTCTCCATAGAGAGCCACTTCTTGTCACAAATGGTGCTGACAATGCTCTCAGGGTACTGTGATTATTATTATCTTTCTTGGCTCATCTGTTATAAGCCTGCTTTAATGTATCAGCCTGGAACCTAGAAGATAAAAGGAATATGGTATAAGATATTGATATAGATGAAACAAAAATCATAGCAGGTTACATGATTTTAGTGAAGTGAGAGGATCACAGCTTATCTTTTCCTCAGGCCCCACTCAGGGTCAGTTGTCTGCAAGCACTGGCCAATGCCAGTTGATTTATGTAGAAGGTGACTTGACTGCTTGCAGATCACTTAATACATTGTGGAGGAACCTTACGTTTTTATCTCTTGGCAGATATGGATATTTGATGGTCCCACAGGTGAAGGCCGGCTTTTGAGATTCAGAATGGGACACAGTGCTCCTCTTACCAAAATAAGATATTATGGACAAAATGGACAACAAATTCTTAGTGCAAGTGAGTTTCTGCTTTATGCTAATAGTTTATTCCAGCAAGCACTGGGGACAAAGTGCTTAATATTTATTAGGTTTGGTGTTAACACATTTTTAGATTTAAATGTCCCTTTGAGTAACTCGAAAATCTGGGTAAAATGAGGTGAATGTTTTTAATATTTCAGGAAATGCTGTAGCTGATATTTTCATTTGGAGTGTCATTCTGTTTACTGATCATCAGAGACAGAATGGGCAAATTCTAAAAATGTGGCTCTTGCCTATTCAAATAATCTGCTAACAGTTATTAGTACCTCATTTTATCCTTTGTATTTACTAAATGGCATTCTCTGTGCAATTGAATATTATAAATTAGGTAGTTGCAATCAGCTCTTTTAAAATGCTGGACACTGTAACCAAGCTTTTTCTAGAATCTGATTTTATAAGAGCTGTGATTCAAATGGTCCATTGTTTTGATGAAGCCTTATTGGGCATTTTCTGTGTGTATCAACAGGTCAAGATGGAACTCTTCAGTCATTTTCCACAATACATGAGAAATTTAACAAGAGCTTGGGACATGGTAGGTGATTTGCAAGATGGAAAAAAGTTGCTGGTCACACACAAAAAAATCTTTCAGGATCCTGTGAGACAACCAAAAGAAATTTCACTGATAAATTTTCTCTTTCCTAGTTGAAGTAAAAATCCCTTATATGAGAGTAGTAGTAAGATTCCTAAGATTAATATTCCTATGGAAGTGGCTGAGGTGCTGCTATTAAGTTATTGAGGAGTTAGACATCTTAGATAGTAAAAAATGTCTTAGGTGGTAAAAACATACTGCTACCACCCAAAAGACAGTGATCTTACTTGGGCCATCTGTGGAATTCAGAATTTTAAAGGTGGAAGGGAGCCTAGAGAAATCATCAAAGTAAGGAGTCTCATCTTTTTGCAAAAAGGGCTCTTTTTATTCTCTATCACTTCACATGATTTCTATCATTTGAAAGATTTTGTTATTAAACAAAAATGTTCCATTTTATTTGTAATTACTCTTCTTTGTAAGTTAATATCCTGGCTATTCATGCATGTATATAATTCCAGATGAATTTCAGGATCATTTTAAAGTCCATATCCAAAATAATTCCTCTTAGAATCAAATTGGAGAAATTTGATATCTTTAAGAGTTACCATATATAGAAATATATCCTCATTCATTTTGTCTTTAATATTCTTCAGTGATTTTTTTTTTAGTTTTCCTCCTGTTGGTTGTACATATTTAAGATTACTCAATGGTATTTTACATATTTTAATTTGCTAATTTTTTTGCTAATATTGTGAATGCAATCTATTCATTTATATTTCTAACTGCAATTTTTAGTAACGCTCGTAATAGTGGTAATAACCATCATCTTCATTTTGCACCTGACTTAAATGGGAATATCTTGAACTTTATAGTTATATGACATTGAATAGCTTTTCTTTTATGTACATTTTTGTTAAGAAATATTCATAGTTATATTCTCATCTCCCCCTAACCCCAGGTTTAATAAATAAAAAGAGAGTCAAACGTAAAGGACTTCAGAATGCCATGTCAGTGAGACTTCCACCCATCATTAAGTTTGCAGCTGGTAAGTAACTTCATACTGTGTTTTGAGTTCTGGTCTGTCATTTATCTCCTCCTATGTATTTCTTTATTTCTGTCATTTTAATAAATGTTTTTACAAAATTAATAAGCATCTGGAGGGTAACTCAAATACATTTATTTCTTCCATATTAATAAATGTTTTTGCAAATATTAGTAAGAATCCAGAATTCATCCCAAGTGCATGCTAATCTTAAGACTGAAAATGAGTAATTTATAATTTGAACTTGTTATCTATTAATTTTAGGCTTTGTTCTTCTGTATAAACTATTAATAAGTAATATTTGATACTTAATTTTTTAGCCCTTTTTATTCCATTATATGCTTGGTATAGTAAAAGTCACTAATGTTAAAATGTAAGAACTGAGAACATGGGGCTCTGGCTAATTTAATAAAGATCTGCATACACTGAGGTCTTAGTATACTGTCATTTGAGCAGTGCTTCATTCAAAAAAATGATTTTAAGAAAAATGTAGATAGGTGATAAGATTGTTGAGAGAAAGCTATCCTAGAAATGACTATATAGGCACCATTTCCATTTCAAGGTTATAGAAACAACCTGACTGGTATTTTTTTTTTTAACTTTAATTTTGACCACCCTCCTGTCTATTTTCTACCTTAGAGCCTGAGTGATCGTTCTAAAACATATGAATTATGTCATCTATCTGCTTAAAATTTTTCATTGACCCTTTGTTACCTTTTGGGTGGAATCTCCTCTCCTTAACATGGCTGTCAAGACTCATGGTAGTGTGGCCCAGTGGCCTTGCCCTCCTCCCACTCCTCTCAAGAAAGTACTTTACTTACTTGCTGTGCTTAACTTTGTTCAAGTTTACCGTTAGGCCTGTGTGTGTCTCACCCGCTCCTACTAATTTCTGCTAGTTTACTGTTTCTTTCAAGAAACCATTTATTACTCTCCCTAAACCTCTTAGTAAACTCTTCCTGAGTGCTGATATAAGAGCTATCATACTTTATTGTAATTTCCTCTAATCAGAATCTCTTGTTAGATTAGAAGCTCATTGTTATCAGGAATTACCTGTTTACCATCCTGTCTCTAGTGCCTAATTACAACATAAACTATTAAAGCTTAATAAATAATAGGTGAATGAATGAGTGAGGAGTGAGAAGCAGTTTGATTTGTGATTTTAATTATGTTTTAGAGGAAGCTCGTGAAAGTGACTGGGATGGTATTATCGCTTGCCATCAGGGTAAGCTATCTTGTTCAACCTGGAACTATCAAAGATCTACGATAGGTGCTTATTTTCTCAAGCCAAAAGAGCTGAAGAAAGATGATGTAACTGCAACAGTAAGTGAACTTGTTTACAAGAGCATTTTCTCTTGTAAAACTGTCTTGGGGTTATCTTGTTATACTCATTTATTAATGATAATATTGAAAGAACAAAGAGCGTATTTTAACATTTTGAAACTATTTCCTAATAGTGTTAAGTTATCCAACTTGTATGGAATTATTTTAGGTTTAAGTTAAGCTTTGCTTAGTTAGATGTGGTATACTGTTAACTTTTCTGATGAATTACTCAGAATACCCTTTGAGGAGGATTTTAGCATTTATCTTTTTTTCTTACCTGAATTACGTTGAGTTATACAGTACTATATTCAATTAATATGAATCTTAAGATTTCTTCCTTCCTTTTCTTTCAGTATAGGAATAAGACTTACCTAAATCCTCAATAAGCTATAGATGTATAAGTAATTTAAATTCTTTATTTCTTATTTTCTTATGTTTGTCTAATTGAGTCCTGTTGAAGCCTTTTTAAAACACAGATTTTAAATGCCAGTATTTACTTATAATTTCTTCACCTTTTGAAATTTTATTTTGTTTTCTTTTGATAATATGTAAGTCTTCTATTGAGTTCAGGCTTAAAGCTATAGAGAAATGATGTCAAGTTTGGTTTACAGAATTATTGCCTCTGCTGTTTCAGAAAACATTTTATTGATATATAATTCAC